TGACCTGGGTGGTGGCTTCTTGAGCACCTAGAGAACCTAATGCTACTTCTAACCACCATCTAGTAATATCCATTCCCTGACTTGAACTCAATGCTGGACAGAAAAGGCGTGAACATAATTAGCAAAATAAGAAGGGATTAAATCTCTTCCCAAGATAAAGAAGTGAATTTCAAGGGCTTCTTGGTAAAAGAAATGTTGATCTCATGAATACCAGTGCTTAATCCGCTTATTAAAACTGTCAGGAGGAACAGAAAATGTAAGCTGGAGTTTGAAAAGTCAAAAATTCCGATTGATGAATCGACTTTATTGACTTTAAGATGTGTAAGAGCAAAGTCAAAATTCGTATTGAATCTTTTGGCGTCTGAAAGAGAATTTATAAAAACTGACGACTACAAATAAGCTCAGAAAGTATACGATTTATCGAGGAAAGCATTCCTTCGCTTAGAAATTTAATCTAAGCGAAGGAATTTTCCTTGAAAATCAGAGAATTTTTGTGTCGAGATTTCTGGCTCTTTGCAAATGCACTGGCGTCTCGATCACGCGGAACCAAATATTTATTTATTTATTTATATCAAATGGCAGGCGTTTTGATAGTTATCATTAGCCCTGAAGATGACTTCGGGGCTTCACAGAGAGGAGAAGGAACATCAAAGTGACAAAAAGTTGAGAGGGGGGACAGAAGAGCGATTCACATAGGAAAAAGAGACAGACAGACAGACACAAAGGCATAAAGAGGGCAAGATGAGTACTGTGAAAGGGGTCGAATATGACAAATAGTCGGGCCAAAGTAATTTGAAGCCAGAAGTCAACTGTCGATCAATAGACTTTTTGCCGTGTGATTATACGTTGCCCAGGGTGCACCACGTGGAGGTAAGTCTATTGCGCATCCCAGCTAACTGGTGGGCCTCCTTGCCCAGTAGATCCACATCACAATAATGACTTGTAAAGAGAAAGTCAAAACAATCATAAGACAATTTTGCATCCAGAAAGTTTTGCGCAGAAAGATAAGCGCTAAGAACGGCAAAGTGAAACACCTCTTGACCTTATGATTCTGGAGCGGGGTGTACGATAGACTTACCTTCACGCGGTACACCCTGGGCAACGTACACTCATACGGCAAAAAAGTCAATAACCCGGAAATTGGCCTATAACTACCATGACTCGACTGTATGCCACTTCCATAATACTCACCTCACCTTTTTCTCTCTATCTTTTGGTCTGTCTCTTTTACAACTGTGAATCACACTTCTGTTCCCCCATTCGACTTTTATGACTTTGTCTGTTCCTCCCCCTCCTTGAAGCCTGAAATCAACTAAAGGCCTAATGCTAGCTATCATATGGCCTGCCATTTGATATAAGTAAATCAATAAAATGATTCTCGAGCTCAGATGAAGATGAGGTCATCTGATTCGCCGACTCTCACTTC